TGGGAATAAAAGCATACTTCACAGAGTTGTGAGGACAGAAGGAAATAAATTATGTAAAGTACCTGGCCTGGGCCTGGCACACAGTAGGTGCTCAATACCCGTTAGTTTCTTTCCTCTTCTGCCCTGGAAGAAATGACAGGGAAACTTACTAAGTGAGACTTGCCCAAACCACATTTATTTCTTGAAGCACAGGATAGAAGACTAGACAAGTGACTTTCAAGGCCTCTCTGAACCCGCAGGTCCAGGCTGTACAAACAACACGGTGGAAACTTCCTGTAAGACCCTTCAGTGTTCATGGTCCCTGCAGCCCCTTCTTCCTGCCTTCCCTTCCCTTGGTAACACCTACAAATGAGAGATCTACTCATTTCAGAATGGACAAGATCACAAAGAGGGTGGAGCATCTTTGGGGGGGGGGAGGATCAAGAGGAGATGGCCAAGGGATGCAGCGTTTCCTCCACAGGCCCACACAGGCTTCAGCTGGGAGCTTGCTCAAGTTTGAAAGATGATGGGGAAGGTGTGGTTGTGGTACGGAAGGGCAGACGCAGGGCCTTCCCAGGGCCCGACCATGTTGCTCAGTGCTGTCGGGCTTGTGCGCATCCTGCCATCAAGGACCATGGGCCATTCATTTGCCTAGAGTCACACCACCATGCGGGCTGCTCCGTCTGCCTCCTCCTGCTTGGTCTACCCCGTTTGGCGTTACATCCTTCTACGAGCACAGGCACAATGGGTTAGGCTTTGCTCTGGAATGCTCTCACAATTTCTAAACCTACTGGTGCGGCAATGGTTCCAGTGGTGGAAGCCAGTCTTCCCCACAAAGCCTAAGCCTATGCCTGTGAGTCACTGGAGCCTGGCCCTTTGTGGAGGCCGCACCTCACGGCAGGCATGCGGGAGCACTGCATTCAGAGAGCAGCAGCTGGAGGTAACTGTTCATAGGACAACTTTATCTCTTTAAAGTTGTTCCTCCTCCTGCTTAGGGAGAAGCTCCTCCCTGGGAAGCCCCACTCGTTCAATACCCTGGGCCTCCTCCACAAGCTGCTTCCAGATCCAGTCACACTCAGAATGGGGCTGGGGGATTTCTGAGACGCAGAGCTGGACACAGATTCTGTAGGTCTAAGATTAAATCCAGTAGACCAGGGGGCACATGGCAAGTGGGCTATGTCTACGCCCAAACGGAATCAAATCATCATAGCTGCCTTTCCCACCAGCTACCAGAGAGAACTTGATGTTCACTTTCTTTCTTAAATCCTTTCATTGGGGGCTGGCATCGTGGCAGAGTGGGTAAAACTGCTACCTGCAATGCCCGCACCTCACATGGGCACCTTCAAGTCCTGGCTGCTTCATTTCCAATCCAACCCCAGTTGTCCTCTTCGGGTCTCTGTCTGGCCTGTGTTTAGACCCCTGCTCCTGTCCTGTCCTCCAGAGAACTTCTGGGAAGTTCTGCGTACCAGACACAGCCCAAGCCTGCTAACCTCTCTACCCAGATCGCTCAGCACTCTCCCAATGAGCCAGGCAGCTGGGTCTCTGTCTGGCCTGTGTTTAGACCCCTGCTCCTGTCCTGCCCTCTGGAGAACTTCTGGGAAGCCTTCCTTGGCTGATCCTCTCCCAAGGCATCATGTCAGGGCAGCCTCAGTGCCAAGCATCTGCAGCCAGCACTCATCGCAGTGAGCGTTTGTGCTTGCACTGCTGGGCCCCGACACTGACTCTGTGGTCCTACACTCACCGTCACAGCCACACCTGAGAAAATAAACAGATAGGTGGATTATACACATATTCTCTACAGCAAGAGTTCTTGGTGGGCAAGGGTTGTGTGGTTCTCTTCTGCATTCACAGCTAGCCCGGGACCTGGGGCAGGTGAACGGTCAGACAGTATTGGCAGAACACTCGAATACCAGGTGAGAGGGATCCTGGCACCATGGCATGCGTGTAATGGCTGGCCTACTTTCTTTAAGAACAAAGTGGCAGGAATCGGATTCTTTCAGTTTAAGAATTATGCATAATACACGCCTTAGAAATCATTTAAAAATGTCTGCTCTCAAAAACTCTAAGTGCAGTAAATGAGGGTGTTAGGGTCTTAATCATCCACCTGATTTCAGATGTAAACTTCTATCTCAGGGGCATGTTAGGGAAATAGATGACCCAGTGGTCTGTGCTGTGACTCAACAGGCTAATCCTCTACCTTCAAGCTCTGGCATCCCAATTGGACACTGGTTTGTGTCAGGCTGCTCAACATCCCATCCGGCTCCCTGCTAACGGCCTGGGAAAGCAGAATGACCCAAGTCTTTAGGACCCTGAATCCACGTGGGAGGCCCAGAAGAGGCTCCTGCCTTCAGATTGACTCAGCTCCATCATTTGCAGCCATTTAGGGAGAACCAGTGGATGGAATAGCACTCTCCTCTCTGTAAATGTGCCTTTCCAAAACAAACCAATCAATCTTTAGGACCCAGAGTCGATGATGGGGCACCTTCAAAGGCCTTCAGTCGACATAAAAGCAGCGGACATGGCAGGAATCCCCCTCCAGATCCCTTCCTCCCACTGGCAGTGCCAGGGAGGCAGGCTGGGTGGGGAGGGATTCTAAGAGGGACCACCCCAAGGACAGCGACCATCTCATCCACCTGTGCCCCAAAGAAAGGTCCCAGCACCGAGGTAGCTCTGATGTTTGCTGAGAGAATTACACATAATGAAATGGTTTTAATAAAGATACTGACTGATCATCTGCTCCAATTCCTGCAGAAAGCAGGTTTACTCTGAGCAGTGGAAGAACCGGGTCCCTGGAGTCCCTTTAAACGAGACTGGGCAGAGTCCCAGGGAGGATGCTCAGTGAGATCAGAGGAAGGGAACAAGGAGCAGAGAAGGTTAAGATGAGCTCACACAACCTCTCTCCACCTGCCCCCCCATGCTAGTTTACATTATAGCAAGTCTCCCAGGAGCTCACTGTGCACCCGGGGGACAAGCTGAATGGTCCTGGAGAGACCAAAGACAGTTGGCGTGGATGGCAGGTAAGGACATTCAGGCTGTCACCTGGCACAGCTCCCACACCTCTGGTTCCTACTCTGGGTGAGGAGCCTCTACTTGCTGAGAACTCACTTTGTTGATGAAGAAATGGGCCCAGAGTCACAAAGCTGAGAATGACCTGAGCTCAACCTCCTCCTACTGATGCTTCAGCTGCTTCTGTTGCGGCCAGTGCTGTGGCATAACGAGTTAAGCTACCACATGTAGCGTCAGCAGCCCATACGAGTGCTGGTTTGAATCCTGGCTGTTCCACTTCTGATCCAGCTCCCTGCTGCTGTGCCTGGGAAAGCAGCAGAGGGTGGCCAAAATTCTTGGGACCCTGCACCAAAGCTCCTGGCTTTGGCCTGGGCCCAGCCCTGACCATCGTGGCCATCTGTTGTGAACCACCCACTGGAAGGCCCATCTCTCTCCACTCCTATAACTACCTTTCCAATAAACAAATCTTATTTTTGTTTTCCGTCACTAATAAGGCAGTACCTGTTAGTCGTGTTGAGATAACTGGATTCCTAGTGAACAGCTCCGTGTTCAGTGGCCCTAAACGATGGGAAGGAAGGACTCTGGGGGGAGAGGGCCTGATCAACACTGAGCACCTGGAGATGATGCGAATGAGGACCACAGAGGCCGGGGGACCACGTGATCTAGAGAGCCACCGACTGCCTGATGGAGATTTGGACCCAGCGTCACCAGACGTTCACAAAACCAGATCTGTGAGGAACCTCGTGGTTTTAAAAACATTGGCTCAGGTTAAAACGCGGAATTCAACAGGACCTTAGAAAGACTGTGGCTATTTGCTGCCTCAGGATTTGGCTTAGCACACAGCATTGTATCTCGTTTTCTTCGCCGGGGTTATAAGGACTGGAGCAGACAGAAAGTGCCAAATGGAGGCCTGGCATCCAAAGCGGGGTGCAACCAGCACAGAGCTTGCTAGTTTATCTCTATAGCTGTAGGGTTTTTTTTTTCCCCCCCTGTTATTCTTTTTTGGCCTGAAACTTCTTGTGGGAGTCATTTGGGAAGTGGCTTTTGGACCTGAACCTACAGTGAGTTATTTGTTTAGCTGCCCTGGGTTTCTGTTTCTTCATCTGAAAAGCTGGTAACAACAGTTAGGTCCTTTGTTAATTAACATTTCTTAATCGCTGGGCACCGGGCTAGAATGGTGACTGAGACACTTCCTGTACTTTCGGGGCTTATATATAAAATCGGACAAACCATTCTATCAATAGTTAACTCATCTCGTTGGTGCTAACTCCTGAGGAGAAATACGAGGGTGACAGGAAGACGGAAGGAAGGCATGTGGAACGCTGGGCATGAATAAAGGAACCAAGCAAGTGGGGTAAGCAAGAACGAGGTAGGAAGTGAGCTGTTAGAAGAGTTATTGGAGCTTAACAGGACTTGGGAAAGTCACATCCCTAATTTCCATCCCCTGAGCTTTCCAGCTGCTCTGTATGGCAGGGTCCCTAAAACGTTACACAGCCCAACGGGGAAGGAGGCAGCACCAGCTCCCCGGCTAGCCCCTCGCTGCCCTCCTCTTCTGGATAACTGGAGGAGCCGCTCAGGGTTGGCAGCTGGAGCCAGCCAGGCCAACCGGGACAGGCACCCCGGGTGGGGGGGGATCCTCTAAAGTCAGGCTTCTGACACTTCAGCAGTGGTGGTTTTCAGTTAGTTAAAAACCCCATTTTGATCTGAAATGCAAAGGAGACTAGCACAGAAACTGGGTTACAGTCAGCACAGGCTCCACACTGATTCATTCTTTCTCATTTCCCTGGTGATTCCCACCCTGTATGAGCAGGGTCCTCAGCTAGGTGTGAAGGAGCAGAGCCCAACAGCATTTGCGTCCCCTCGGAGTTCACCGTCCAGTGCAGGGACCTTTCCTCACAGAAAGGGGGAGAGCTGCCACGGGGAAGGACAGAGAGTCGGGGACACACGGGATGGGGGTGGGGAGGTGCCAGGGAAGGCTTTCTGGGAACGGGACCCCAAGGCGCAGCCCCACTCACATGCACAATTCGAGATTCTACTAGAAGGCTGTCAAGAGCCATGCCTTCCGGCTGCACCAGCATCCCAGAGTCCCCTGCTGCCCGATGCAGTGTCTGCAGAGCCAAACGCATCTTCCACCACGCCTCAGCCTCATCCGGCGATGCAGCCGACCCCGCCAGGGCTCCTGCAGGAGCCTGCCTTCCGCAGGCTCAGCCAGCAGACCAACTCAAAACTTCACTGTCAGAGCAAGCTGAGGGCTTAGCCACCCCCCCACCCCGGGTGCCACAACCCTCCCAAAGCAACTGTGGCCCACGCCAGCCCGCCTGTCGGTGAGCACTGTGGCAGGGGACCTCCTAATACCTCCTCGAATCAAACAATGTGACCTTCTTCCAGGTGGTAAGCTGGAAGCTTTGGAGAATCCTCCTGAGCATTCGCCAACCCAGGGGTCTGAGGGTCCGAGGGGGCCGCCTTGTGGGACACGGGCACAGAGGGCGAGAGAGGGGACAGGTTGCGCTGGGTTGCACTCAGGACAGGAGCCCCCGCCAAAACCGTGTTCCCCGCAGAGAAGGAGACAGATGCTGAGGGGGCAGCGGCTGCAGGCAGCGCGGGGGAAGCAGTGGATGGCAGAGGCCAGGAGGGGGCTGTAGGCTTGCCAGGCTCCAGCGCGCCCAGTGACGGCCTTGGGGGTCGCCAGGGAAGCAGGTGGGACAGAAGGAGGTGGCGGACGCGGAGCTGGGGCTGTGGCCTCGGGATCGGAGCCCGGCACCGGGGTGGGCGTATGGCCAGCTGCAGCCTGATCGCCGGAGGACGGGCCGGGCCGAAGCTCCGGAGAGAAGGGTCCATCCTCTTAACTCCTGCCCAGGGAGGGGACAGAGCCTCAAGCCCTGGGACTGGCCCCAGCCCCGGTCCCGCCCCGCCCCACTCGGAGATGAAAGCCCCAAAGCAGCCGGAATCGCCCTCGCTCGCTCCTACCTGCGGGCCGGGCGCCAGCTGGGGCTCGTCCTCCTCCTCCCTGAGACCGGCGCGCTCGGGCTCGCCTGGCGCCTCCGGGGGCCCTGCGCCCGCTCCCGCTTCCAGGCTTGGCGGCGGCGGGGGCTCGGGAGCCTGGGGCTTCTGCAGCCCCGTGGCCCGCGTCCGCTCGCGCCGGCCCGCGCCGCCGCTGGGCCTGCTCCGCCTCCGAGTCATGCTGCCGCGCCGCCGCTCCCTCGCTCCACTCGCGCCGCCGCCGCCGCCGCCGCCGCCACCGCCACCGCTCCCCTCACAGGACAACAGCCAATATGGCGGCGCCCGGCTCCCCTCCGCCCGCTGCCAGCAGGTCAGAGGGCACACCGAGTCCGCGCCGCCGCACTACTCCCGGAGGCTGCCCGCGCCATTTTGAATAAGGTCACCACCCGGAGTTCCGTGGGAGAAAAGCCCGATAAGGGGAGACGCCCTCCCCACGCGGGACGGGAGGATGCGATTCACGGGAGCAACGCGTGCAAAGCTGCGGTAGTTCCTCTGCATGGATCTAGGTGCCCAATAATTCTGCTGACTGGATGAATGGATGTCTACGGTCCGTTCACGCTGCTCCCAGCAACACTGGGAGGCAGGTTTTTTCCCCCGTTGGGCAGCCAACCTTTTGTAGAAAAGCTTGTCCGACATTTTCCAACCCATGCTGACGGACTGGTGGGCGGCGTGAGTTGAACGGGCTCTTCTGGGCCAACGGGAACGCGCTTGGGAGGGAGAGTTCCAGATGGGAGGGAAAACAGACCCCTAAATGTAGTGGTCACACCGCTTGCTCCGTGTTGCCAGAGGAGTGCACGGAGGATTTTGAGTGCACAAAGGAGCCCTTAAGAAATGTAGTACTAGTGCCTGATACCCCCAGCCTGGAAGTCCAGCCCCCAGATACCTGGGTCCCGGTTCTGCCCTCCTGCTAATGTGCACCTGTTGGGGCAGCAGGGCTCAGGTTCTTGGATCCCCACCACCCACATGAGGGATGTGCATGGAGCGTTGAGCTCCTGATACAGGCATGGCCCAGCCCTGGCTGGTGCCAGCTACAGGAAGAGAACCAACAGAAGGAAGATCTGTGTGTGTGTGTTTCCACCTTTGAAATGAACAAAACACATATATTTAAAAAAAATATTTGATTTATTTTTATTGGAAAAAAATACAGAGAGGAGGATAGACAGAGATGAAGATCTTCCCTCCGTTGTTGATTTGCTCGTTAAGTGGCCACAATGCCTGAAGCTGAGCAGATCTGAAGCCAGGAGCTTCTGGGTCTCCCTCGTGGGTGCAGGGAGCTTGGTCAGAAGTGGAACCAACACCCATATGGGATTCCCATGTTGCAGGTGGCATGTTAACCCACTGTGCAACAGTGCTAGCCCCAGGAATACATTCTTTTTTTTTTTTTTTTTAAGATTTATTTTTATTATGTTTTTACTGGAAAGGCGGATATACAGAGAGAGACAGAGAGGAAGATCTTCCATCCAATGATTCACTCCCCAAGTGAGCACAACGGCCGATACTATGCCGATCCGAAGCCAGGAGCCTCTTCCGGGTCTCCCACGCGGGTGCAGGGTCCCAAAGCTTTGGGCCGTCCTTGACTGCTTTCCCAGGCCACAGGCAGGGAGCTGGAAGGGAAGCAGGGCTGCCGGGATTAGAACCGGCACCTATATGGGATCCCGGGCGTGCTAGGCAAGGACCTTAACCACTTGCGCCACCGCGCCGGGCCCAGGAATACATTCTTTAAAGTGTTTTTCAGCCCGGTGCGGTGGCCTAGCAGCTAAAGTCCTCGCCTTGAACACGCTGTGATCCCATATGACCTGGAAAAAGTTCCTGGCTCCTGGCTTCAGATTGGCTCAGCACCAGCTGTTGCGGCCACTTGGGGAGTGAATCATCGGACGGAAGATTTTCCTCTCTGTCTCTCTTCCTCTTTGGATATCTGCCTTTCCAATAAAAACAAACAAATAAATAAAATTGTGTGTGTTCTTTTTTAAAAAAATGCTTTTCACATACATGTGAGAGACCTGGAAGAAGTTCCTGGCTCTTGGCTCCTGGCTCCTGGCCCCTGACTCCTGGCTTCTGACCCCTGGCTCCTGGTCCCTGCCTCCTGGCCCCTGGGTCCTGGCCCTGACCCCTGGCTCCTGGCTCCTGGCCCCTGCATCCTGGCCATGGTCCCTGACCCCTGGCTCCTGGTCCCTGGCTCTTGGCCCCAGCTCCTAGCTCCTGGTCCCTGGCTCCTGGCCCCTGCCTCCTGGCTCCTGACTTCAGAACAGGACAGCCCAGCTCCGAGTGTTGCAGCCATTTGGAGAATGAACCAATGGATGGATGATTTCTGTCTCTGTCTCTCCTTCTTTCTTGGTGAATATGCCTGTCCACTAAAAATAGAACAAGTTTTTTAAAAATCTTTTTTTAAACATTTATTTATTTTTATTGGAGAAACAGATCAGATTTCCAGAGAGAAGGAGAGATAAGAGAGAAAGATCATCCAATCATCCATTTGCTGGTTCGTTCCCCAAATGGTCACAAAGGCCAGAGCTGGCCCAATCCGAAGCCAGGAGCTTTTTCCATGTCTGCCTTGCAGGTGCAGGGTTCCAAGGCTTTGGGCCGTCCTCGACTGCTTTCCCAGGCCACAGGCAGGGAGTTGAGTGGGAAGTGGAGCAGCCGGGACAAGAACTAGCACACATATAAAATCTCAGTGCTTGCAAGGTGAGGATTTAGCCATTGAGCCATTGCACTGGGCCCAGTATAAGTCTTTTTTTTTTTTTTTTTTTTGAGTCCTGGGCACAGTCTCTCCTGCTGGTCAGTAGACAACTGTGTTGTGGTTACACAGGTGTGTCGTGTTGCTCTCACTGTCAGCAGGGGCTGGATCCTGATGTGGGCTTTCTGAAGAACTCAGTGGGAGGTTCAGGAACGCTCCTTCCCTCTGAAGAACAGACTGGGAATCGCTCCTGATCCCACACAGGAGAGCCCCTTCAGTGATCAGAAGGAGGCAGATGTGCCCAGCCTGTCATCCCTGCCTCTGCAGTCTGGCCTGGGTGGGAAGGAAATGGCCTTGAAGAATGGCCCCGAGGTTTGGTCAGCTTTTCTGATAAGGACCTCAACGGCTAGCACTCTCCCAGATTGACACAGTGGCTGGCACCTGACAGGCAGCCAGAGGTGTAGTGAACACCCCATTGTCCTTGGGAAACATATTCCAAGACCCCAGTGGAGGCCTGAAAGCAGGATTTTCCTGTACATACGTAATCAAGGCAAAGCTCACTTCATAACTTAACTATGAGTCTTTAGAAACTAACAATAGTTACTAAATATAAAATAGAGCAAATATAATCAAATAATGTAATAAAGTCTCTAGTATCATTACTCTTATGCTTTGGGGCCCACTGTTAAACAATATGAGGGTTGTCTGGGGCCCGGCACAGTAGCCTAGTGGCTAAAAGTCCTCGCCTTGCACAAACCAGGATCCCATATGGGCACTGGTTCTAAACCTGGCAGCCCTGCTTCCCATCCAGCTCCCTGCTTATGGCTTGGGAAAGCAGTGGAGGACGGCCCAAAGCCTTGAGACCCTGCACCCATGCGGGAGACCTGGAAGAAGTTCCTGGATCCTGGCTTCGGATCAGCTTAGTTCCGGCCATTGTGGTCCTTGGGGAGTGAATCATCAGATGGAAGATCTTCCTCTGTGTCTCCTCCCCACTATATACCAAACTTAACAATAAAAACAGTAAATCTTTAAATTAAAAAAAAAAAATATATATATATATATATATATGATGGTTGTCTGGACGGAAGTGTTGCAGTATCACCTGTAAGAGCTGCTTTCCAAGGGGGCTGCTGAGAGCCCCAGGGGCAGGCGGGTATGCTGGACCATGGAGACTTCATCGTGGTTCTGGGAACAGTGTCGCTTTACAACTTACGTCTTGTTTATTTCTGGAATTTAGCATTTTCGGATTGTAGCCGGTGAGAAAGGGAAAGCTCTGCTGAGGGATTAGGGCACCAAACAGCAGCCGCTCTGCCTTCACCTGGTAGGGAAATGTTGTTCTTTACACATAGCCTGGGGGAATTTTTTTTTACAAAGGAATACAAATACTTTTTCGTGAGATTGATTTATTTAAAAGGCAGAACAGAGAGAGAGAGAGAGGCCTTCCATCTACTGATTTATTCTCTAAATGGCTGCAACAGCACAGGCTTGGCCAGGTTGAAGCCAGGAGCCAAGAACTCTATGCTGGTTTCTCTGGGGTTGGCAGGAACCCATGTATTTGGGCTTCCTCACCGGCACATTAGTAGGAAGCTGGATCAGAAGCAGGGCATCTGAGACTGGAACAAATGTCCCAGTACTACAGGCTGGCAATACAAAGGGCAGCTTAATTCATTGTGCCATAACACTGACCCCATGAGTAAAAAAAAAAAAAAAAAACTAGTTTACTTATTTAATTTTGTCTCTGAGAAGCCCAAAGAGAAATCTGCCATGTGCTTGTTGACGTTCCAAATACCGCAATAGCCAGAACTGGGCCAAGCTGAAGTTGGGAACTAAGGAATCATGTGACTGGCAGGGCTCTAAGAATCTGAGCCAACCTCTGCTATAGCCTAGGGTGCACAATAGGAGGAAACTGTAGTGGAGAGCAGAGGCAGGGACTCGAACCAGGAACTCTGATATGGAATGCCGGGGTCCCAAGTGGTGTCTTAACTGCTACACCGAACACCTACCCCCAAAGCAGGGGCAACGATCATCTGACGGCCGTATAAGGCCCGGTCCTGCCAAGGCAAACACATATGGGACCCCAAATTCAATAAATTTCTGGCAGGCTAATTTTTTTTAATTAATTAATTTTTTTGTTTTACAATCTTGACATAATTAGGGTAAAAAGGTTCAAGCACTACAGGAAGATGGGCAAGACAATTAGTTCCGTATTATTTCCTTAATATATCTGATGTAAAAGGGAATTTTAAGGGAGAAGCCCCACCCAGTCTCCCACCCACCCCAGGTCCTGGATGTGGGGCATGTTCCAAGGGTCTTGCTCAAGTGATTCTAATAGTTCAACAGTTCTGAATTGCTGCCACTCTCACCACTCCAAGCACGATGCG